TCTCTTTCGGATCTAGGATGTGGTGGTCAACCAAGGTTGGAGGGATTCGGTCTGACAGAACTGGCCAGTAGTCTCTGCTGCTTCTTCCATGTTTAGGATCTAGGATGTGGTGGTCAACCAAGGTGGGAGGGATTCGGTCCTACAGAACTGGCTGTTGGTCTCTGGTGCTTCTTCTCTGTTTAGAATGTAGAATGTAGTGGTTAACCAAGGTTGTAGGGATTTGGTCCTTCAAAACCGGCCAGTGGTCTCCGATGTGTCTTCTCTGTTTAGGATTTAGGATGTGGTTGTCAACCGAGGTTGGAGGGGTTCGGTCCTACAGAATGGGCCAGTAATCTCTGCTGCTTCTTCTGTGTTTAGGATCTAGGATACGGTGGTCAACTGAGGTTGGAGGGATTCGGTCCTACGGAACTGGCCAGTAGTCTCTGCTGCTTCTTCCATGTTTAGGATCTAGGATGTGGTGGTCAACCAAGGTGGGAAGGATTTGATCCCACAGAACTGGCCAGTGGTCTCTGATGCTTCTTCTGTTTAGGATCTAGAATGTAGTGGTTAATCAAGGTTGTAGGGATTTGGTCCTTCAAAACCAGCCAGTGGTCTCTGATGTGTCTTCTCTGTTTAGAATTTAGGATGTGGTGGTCAACCAAGGTGGGAGGGATTCGGTCCTACAGAATGGGCCAGTAGTCTCTGCTGCTGCTTCCATGTTTAGGATCTAGGATGTGGTGGTCAACCAAGGTGGGAGGGATCCAGTCCTACAGAACTGGCCATTGGTATCTGGTGCTTCTTCTGTGTTTAGGATCTAGGATATAGTTGTTAACCGAGGTTGTAGGTATTTGGTCCTTCAAAACTGGCCAGTGGTCTTTGATGTGTCTTCTCTGTTTAGGATTTAGGATGTGGTGGTCAACCAAGGTTGTAGGGATTCGGTCCTACGGAACTGGCCAGTAGTCTCTGCTGCTTCTTCCATGTTTAGGATCTAGGATGTGGTGGTCAACCAAGGTGGGAAGGATTTGATCCCACAGAACTGGCCAGTGGTCTCTGATGCTTCTTCTGTTTAGGATCTAGAATGTAGTGGTTAATCAAGGTTGTAGGGATTTGGTCCTTCAAAACAAGCCAGTGGTCTCTGATGTGTCTTCTCTGTTTAGGATTTAGGATGTGGTGGTCAACCAAGGTGGGAGGGATTCGGTCCTACAGAATGGGCCAGTAGTCTCTGCTGCTGCTTCCATGTTTAGGATCTAGGATGTGGTGGTCAACCAAGGTGGGAGGGATCCAGTCCTACAGAACTGGCCATTGGTATCTGGTGCTTCTTCTGTGTTTAGGATCTAGGATATAGTGGTTAACCGAGGTTGTAGGTATTTGGTCCTTCAAAACTGGCCAGTGGTCTTTGATGTGTCTTCTCTGTTTAGGATTTAGGATGTGGTGGTCAACCAAGGTTGTAGGGATTCGGTCCTACAGAACTGGCCAGTAGTCTATGCTGCTTCTTCCATGTTTAGGATCTAAGATGTGGTGGTCAACCAAGGTGGGAGGGATTCAGTCCTACAGAACTGGCCAGTAGTCTATGCTGCTTCTTCCATGTTTAGGATCTAAGATGTAATGGCCAACCAAGGTGGGAGGGATTTGGTCATACAGAACTGGCCAGTAGTCTATGCTGCTTCTTCCATGTTTAGGATCTAAGATGTGGTGGTCAACCAAGGTGGGAGGGATTCGGTCCTACAGAACTGGCCAGTAGTCTATGCTGCTTCTTCCATGTTTGGGATCTAAGATGTGGTGGTCAACCAAGGTGGGAGGGATTCGGTCCAGGCCATGCATTTAGTGAGAAACTTTCATGGGTGAAATTGGAGATCAGAGACCTGCAGAATTGCATACTTAAAGTTTGGGGTTCAAGGAAATGTACCGTGGCCTGGTGTACTCCAGCATTGCCAAAATTATTTAAAAAAACAAAAGTTTGAAGAGGTAATCTGTCTGACTTATATTTTCCAATTTGACTAGTAGGCTTCCTTAAGAAATGTTTTGTCTTGGTGTTCCTGAGTCTCGGAATCGGAGCTGACCAGGGTGCCATTATACAGAATGGAAATGTTGACCTCCAGTGCTGGATAGTCCATGAAACGTAATATCGGTATTGACAAGTAATTAACTTGGTGCAGCTAATTTCTAGGACGTTCCTCACATCTTCTTCTGGATGAATCTGCTTTCTAGTATCTATCGAGTAGGACTTCCCTGGAATCCAAGGCCTCATTAATAAGTGTCCCAAGTGCAGATTACGGACAAGACGCCATTTTTTATTTATCAGCGAGGCTTCTTGCACCACAATGGGGTTTGGACTGAAAAAAAAAGAAAACATGACTGGAAAGGTAGCTATTGTCACTTGTATGCCTTGGAAAGCTTGATTGTCCTCTGCAAATATACTCCTCCACTCACCAGAAATGAATAGCTGCAGAAAGTTCTGAGCACATTTGAGATTCGGAGTTGCACAGCATTTGGAAGAAGGTCAGTGAATAGCATTAGCTGCTTTTGTGATCACATTGCAGGTGACCGGCCACCAAACACGTCTTCGCAATCCAGGAAACAGCCACTTGCATGTTGGCATCTTTGGATGGGATCAACATAATGGTTGCTTAGAGCAGGGCTTGTCAAATTTGCTTTGAATCTAGGAGCCTAAATATCACCCAAACCGTTCTCTCCTCTGCTCCTCCCATGACCTCCTGCTCTCTAGCTCCCTTGTCTCCTCCTCCCATGCTTGTCTCCAGGACTTCTCCAGAGCTTCCCCCATCCTCTGGAACTCTCTACCCCCAATTTATCAGACTATCGCCTACTCTGCTCACCTTTATGCGATCTCTGAAAACCGATCTCTTCAGGGAAGCCTATCCTGCCCTCAGCCAATACTGGAATCTTCTACTTTTCCAACTAGTCCATCCCCCACAGTTACTACCTTTTGTACCACCAGCCCCTCCCTCCTAGATTGTAAGCTCCCAGGATCAGGGCCCTCCTATCCCTCTTGTATTGATCTGTATTGTTGCTGTATTGTCTCCCGTTATATTGTAAAGTGCTGAGCAAACTGTTGGCGCCATATAAATCCTGTATAATAATAATAGGAGCCAGCTACAAAAGTTAGGAGCCAGTTTTTTTTTAGCGTAGCCTGAGTTGCATTGAAGTCTCTGGGTGGCGCATTTGCATTGACGTCTATGGGTGATGTATTTGCGTTGACATCTATGGGTGACTTATTTGTGTTGACGTCTATGGGTGACGTATTTGTGTGTTGACGTCTATGGGTGACGTATTTGTGTTGACGTCTATGGGTGACGTCTTTGTGTTGACATCTATGGGTGACGTCTTTGTGTTGACGTCTATGGGTGACGTATTTGTGTTGACGTCTATGGGTGGCGTATTTGCAATTCGTCTATGGGGTTTTATTTTCTGTTGATGTCTATGGGTGGCTTATTTCTGTTGATGTCTATGGGTGGCGTATTTTCGTTGACGTCTGTGGGTGGCGTATTTGCGTTGACGTCTATGGGTGGCATATTTGCGTTGACGTCTATGGGTGGCGTATTTGCGTTGACGTCTATGGGTGGGCGTTTTTGGAATTAGTCTATGGGAGGTGTTTTTGCATTGAAGTCCATTTCAGCAACCCCCTCCCCTTCCTAAAAAATCAAGCACTAATCTGCATGCTAGCCCCCTAAGAATATATTTCCCTTGCAAGCCAAAATTATTTCCAAACACTCCTCCCAGTACAAATCCCTCCTGCTGAAATCCCTCCTCCCAGCACAAATTTTTGACCTCCCAGAGTTTCCTTACCCACCCCATCTCCTCTTTGCTGGTAGGAGATGGGGGCAGGTAAGCAAACCCTGCATAGTGTCAACCTGACAGTCCTGAGAATGAGGGGAGAGAGAGCACAGCTTGCACCTCCTCCCGGCTTTCTTCTGCTCTCCTGATTCCACTTGTGACTTCCCGCCTTTCCTCCTGTCAGCTTGTAGAGGCAGAAACACTCCAAGCAGCGCCCCCCCCCCCCACCCAACCTCACATACTACCACAGCGCCAATGGCAGCCGCCCGTCCAGGCCCTGACCCCACCCTAGCTACGCCAGTGGATGGGACGCGCAATGGCCACTTACGTAGACAGGATTCAGTCAGGGTCATATACAGAATTTAGAAGGAGACCAACGAATAGAATTTGCTGCTGCTTTTGCGTTGCAATCACATTGCGAGTGACCGTTAATCGGACATCCTCATCGCGGTCCAGGGAACAGCCACCCCCCCATTACCGGCTTTGGATAGGACGCACGTTTTGGCCACTTAGCGGGAGGCTGTACGTGAACGGGATATTTGGAGACAATTGAGTTGCTGGTGAAGTCAGAGAGAGAAATTAAAGACGAGTAAATGTTGCATTAAGGCACGAAGCGACGGGTAATACTGGCAGCAATATCGCTAGATTGGAATGAAGAGAAAAGGGCCGAATTTACATTTAAATGAAGGTATTTAGAATTTCTTGCATTCCAGCAGAGAGGGGAAGCAGCGGGAGAGGTGGACATGGCGGGAGGAAGAGAAGAGGAGAACGTAAGGTGAATGTAGAAAGGCGGAGGGGGGCGCCGTGCCAATCAGGTGGAAAGGAAGGTTATTATCGCATTCTGCGACATTTGAACATATATGTTCGGTCTACACCCACTAATGGACACATCGATGTACGTCTTCCCCTATGGAACCGGAGATAATAGCCCGGCGTTCACTTATGTCGGGGATGCGAGGTAATTATCCGTCTTCCATAAATGATTCCCGAAGTAAACAGCCACTTTTATTCAGGTGATGTCACCATCAGAATACCAAACCGTATCAGCCACGCACGACCCGACAGGACGCAAGGGGCGCAAATGCCCGCGACGGCAGAATATATGGCCTAAATATGTCTGAGACACGGGGGTAGGAATTGATATTTTGCTAATCTTCATAGGTTTTTCAATGGTTTTCCGGAAAAAATTTAATTTTTTCTACTTGACACACACTGATAATATACATTAACCCCTCGCCCTCCAGAGGATTCCCCCCCCCTCGCCCTCAGAGGATTCCCCCCCCTCGCCCTCCAGAGGATCCCCCCCTCCTCGCCCTTCAGAGGATCCCCCCTCCTCGCCCTTCAGAGGATCCCCCCCTCCTCACCCTTCAGAGGATCCCCCCCTCCTCACCCTTCAGAGGATCTTCCCCCCTCGCCCTCCAGAGGGTTCCCTCCCCCTCGCCCTCCAGAAGATTCCCCCCCCCTCGCCCTCCAGAAGATTCCCCCCCTCGCCCTCCAGAGGATTCCGCCCCCCTTCACCCTCCAGAGGATCCCCCCCCTTCGCCCTCCAGAGGATTCCGCCCCCCTTCGCCCTTCTGTGGATTCCGCCCCCCTTCGCCCTCCAGAGGATCCCCCCCCTTCGCCCTCCAGAGGATCCCCCCCCCTTCGCTCTCCAGAGAATTCCCCCCCCCTTCGCTCTCCAGAGAATTCCCCCCCCTCGCCCTCCAGAGAATTCCCCCCCCCGTCGCCCTCCAAAGGATTCCCTTCAGAGGATCCCCCCCCCTCGCCCTCCAGAAGATTCCCCCTCGCCCTCCAGAAGATTCCCCCTCGCCCTCCAGATGATTCCCCCCTTGCCCTCCAGAATATTCCCCCCCCCTCCCTCCCCCTCCAGAGGATTCCCCCCCCTCCAGAGGATCCCCCCCCCTCCTCGCCCTCCAGAGGATCCCCCCCCCCCTCCTCGCCCTCCAGAGGATCCCCCCCCCTCCTCGCCCTCCAGAGGATTCCCCCCCCTCCTCGCCCTCCAGATGATATCCCCCCCCCTCGACCTCCAGATGATCCCCCTCTCGCCCTCCAGATGATCCCCCCCCTCGCCCTCCAGATGACCCCCCCCTCGCCCTCCAGATGACCCCTCCTCGCCCTCCAGATGATCCCCCCCCTTGTTCTCCAGATGATCCCCCCCCTCGCCCTCCAGATGATCCCCCCCCTCGCCCTCCAGAGGATTCCTCGCCCTCCAGAGGATTCCTCGCCCTCCAGAGGATTCCTCGCCCTCCAGAGGATTCCTCGCCCTTCAGAGGATTCCCCCCTCGCTTCCAGATGATCCCCCCCCTCCCCTCGCCCTCCAGATGATCCCCCCCCTCGCCCTCCAGATGATCCCCCCCCTCGCCCTCCAGATGATCCCCCCCCTCGCCCTCCAGATGACCCCCCCCTCGCCCTCCAGATGACCCCTCCTCGCCCTCCAGATGATCCCCCCCCTTGTTCTCCAGATGATCCCCCCCTCGCCCTCCAGATGATCCCCCCCCTCGCCCTCCAGAGGATTCCTCGCCCTTCAGAGGATTCCCCCTCGCCCTCCAGATGATCCCCCCCTCGCCCTCCAGATGATCCCCCCCCCCTCGCCCTCCAGATGATCCCCCCTTGCCCTCCAGAGGGTTCCCTCCCCCTTGTCCTCCAGAAGATTCCCCCCGCTCTCACCCTCCAGAGGATTCCCCCCTCGCCCTCCAGGGGATTCCCCCCCTTCCTGACCAGGCCAGTTTTTGCGGTACGGCGCTGATTTACTTTAATGGACAATTGAGCGGTCGTGCAACGCTGCACCCAAATGAAATTTACGTCCTTTCCCCCCCCCACAAATGGAGATTTCTTTTGGCGGTATTTGATTGCCTGTGCATTTTTTTTTTTATTTTTTTTAACTATAAACAAAAAAAAAGACCTACAATTTTGAAAAAAAAAAATTATTTTATATATATATAAAATAAATTTGACTTTTTGACATTAAATTTATCCAGTGAAAAAATTAAAAAATCGAATTTAGTCAGAAACTTAAATCAAATTTCATCATAAATTTCGGCCAAATTGTATTTTGCTCCGTGTCTTTGCTAAAAAAAAAGTAAAACAAAAAAAAATCCCAATACGTGTAAATTAATTGGTTTACGTGAAAGTTGTAGTGTCTACAAATGGCGGGATAGATACTGAGATTTTTTTTTTTTTTTTTAATATAGTAATGGCGGCGATCAGCGACTTATAGTGCGACTGCGGCAGGCATTCTGACACTGAGGGGGGGAACTGACTTGGTGTCACTGACATCCCCATTGACACCAATACAGTGATCTGTGCTAATAAAAAGCACTGACACTACTAATGTCACTGGGCAGGAAGGGGTTAACATGAGGGGCGATCAAAGGGTTAACTGTGTGCTGTGTGTGTTTCACTGTAAGCATGCTCTATGCCAGTGGTTCTCAACCTTCCTTATGCCGCGACCCTTTCATACAGTTCCTCATGTTGTGGTGACCCCCCCAAAACCATAAAATTATTTACCCAGTAATTATAAGTCATGAAGTGTTGTTTTACCTCCAATACGGCTGCTTTCTACACAGTAGCTGCTTTCAACACAGTAGCTGCTTTTAACACACAGTAGCTGCTTTCTACACAGTAGCTGCTTTCTACACAGTAGCTGCTTTCAACACAGTAGCTGCTTTCTACACAGTAGCTGCTTTCAACACAGTAGCTGCTTTCAACACAGTAGCTGCTTTCAACACAGTAGCTGCTTTTCTACACAGTAGCTGCTTTCTACACAGTAGCTGCTTTCACAGTAGCTGCTCTCTACACAGTAGCTGCTTTCAACACAGTAGCTGCTTTCAACACAGTAGCTGCTTTCAACACAGTAGCTGCTTTCTACACAGTAGCTGCTTTCTACACAGTAGCTGCTCTCTACACAGTAGCTGCTGCTTCTACACAGTAGCTGCTCTTTACACATCGGAAATGTGTGTTTTCCTGATGGTGTTAGGTGACCCCTGTGAAAGGGTCGTTTGACCCCCAAAGGGGTCGCAACCCACAGGTTGATAACCACTGCTCCATGCAGAGCTATACAAAGCAGTGTGCAGGAGCTGACAGGGGAGAGATCTGTGTTGTTTACATGCAGGTCTCTCCCCTGTTGGTAATACTTGGAGATCGCAGGGCACTGGGAGGCAAAAAAAAAAACAGAACTAGTGGGTGTCTAGAGGAATTTTTCAGCTGTAAAAAAAACGCTCTAACACTGAAAAACGCAGTAAAATGTGATAAAACGCCGCAAAACGGCATTTTTGGATGTTTCTTTGATCAAAAGAAAAAAAAAATTTTAATAAAAAAAACAAAAAAAAAGCTAAAAAAAACGCAAACGCGGAAAAATGCCACTAAACGATAATGCAAAAATAATTAAAAAAAGCTTAAAAAACTCTGTTTTTTTAACGTAACTTTACACAGGTAAAATGACCCCCCCCAGTGTGTGTGGAGCCTAGTACTTACCCGAGCCCGACATCGCCAATGTGCATGAGAGCAACAGCTCTCCCAGCTCTCTCCCTCCTCGTTGGCTCAGGGACAGCACTGACCCACAGCTGGTGAGGAGGAAGCGTGGGCGGGGTTGAGCCGCGCTCTCTGTGTCAATTGACACGCAGAGCGGGGCTCAGAAGTGAGCATGCATGAGTGTCCCCATAGCAAGTGGTTTGCTATGGGGCCACTTGGTAGGGGTGAGGAGACGGGATTGACGGCGGGGGGGGGGGGGGGACCCGAGAAGAGGAGGATCGGGACTGCACTGAGCAGGTAAGTATAGAATATTTGTTACTTTTAAAAATGAAAAATGTTGCCTTTAGTATCACTTTAAGATGAGATGAACATCGGTACATACAAAAGGAGGAGAAATCGGCAGTTCTGCTTTAACCACTTCCAGTCCGGACGCTTTCACAGTCCCCCCCCCCCCCTTCCAGTCCGGACACTTTCACCCCCTTCCAGTCCGGACACTTTCCCCCCTTCCAGTCCAGACGCTTTCACCCCCTTCCAGTCCAGACGCTTTCACCCCCTTCCAGTCCGGACGCTTTCCCCCCCTTCCAGTCCGGACGCTTTCCCCCCCTTCCAGTCCGGACGCTTTCCCCCCCCCCTTCCAGTCCGGACGCTTTCCCCCCCTTCCAGTCCGGACGCTTCCCCCCCTTCCAGTCCGGACGCTTTCCCCCCCTTCCAGTCCGGGCGCTTTCCCCCCCCTTCCAGTCCGGACGCTTTCCCCCCCTTCCAGTCCGGACGCTTTCCCCCCTTCCAGTCCGGACGCTTTCCCCCCCTTCCAGTCCGGACGCTTTCCCCCCCTTCCAGTCCGGACGCTTTCCCCCCCTTCCAGTCCGGACGCTTTCCCCCCCTTCCAGTCCGGACGCTTTCCCCCCCTTCCAGTCCGGACGCTTTCCCCCCCTTCCAGTCCGGACGCTTTCACCCCCTTCCAGTCCGGACGCTTTCCCCCCTTCCAGTCCGGACGCTTTCCCCCCTTCCAGTCCGGACGCTTTCCCCCCCCTTCCAGTCCGGACGCTTTCACCCCCCTTCCAGTCCGGACGCTTTCACCCCTTCCAGTCCGGACGCTTTCCCCCCTTCCAGTCCGGACGCTTTCCCCCCCTTCCAGTCCGGACGCTTTCACCCCCCCTTCCAGTCCGGACGCTTTCACCCCCTTCCAGTCAAGACGCTTTCACCCCCTTCCAGTCAAGACGCTTTCACCCCCCTTCCAGTCAAGACGCTTTCACCCCCTTCCAGTCAAGACGCTTTCACCCCCTTCCAGTCAAGACGCTTTCACCCCCTTCCAGTCAAGACGCTTTCACCCCCTTCCAGTCAAGACGCTTTCCCCCCCTTCCAGTCAAGACGCTTTCCCCCCCCTTCCAGTCAAGACGCTTTCCCCCCCTTCCAGTCAAGACGCTTTCCCCCCCTTCCAGTCAGGACGCTTTCCCCCCCTTCCAGTCCGGACGCTTTCCCCCCTTCCAGTCCGGACGCTTTCACCCCCCTTCCAGTCCGGACACTTTCCCCCCTTCCTGACCAGGGCAATTTTTAGCTTTCAGCGCTATCACACTTTGAATGACAATTGCGCGGTCGTGCAACACTGTACCCATATGAATTTGTTACCATTTTTTTGAGACAGATAAAGCTTTATTTTGGTGGTATTTATTCACCGCTGAGGATTTTTATTTTTTTGCTATGTAAATGAAAAAGTCCAAAAATTTAGAAAAGTGTTTTTTTTTTATAAAAGTTTGCAAATAAATAACATTTCATCATAAATCTTTGCCAAAATTTATTCCGTTATCTTTTTAGTAAAAAAAAAAAAAAAATCCAAATTAGTTTATAACCAAAAATTATAATTTTTAAACATTTTTTTTTACATTTTTATTTTATTTTTTATATTCTTATTTTTTATTTATTTATTTTTTACATACTGTCACCCTAGCAGTAGTGTCACCATGGTGACACTGTACTACTTGTGGGGGTGATGAAGATTTTTTTTTTTTTACACGGATTGCTTTTACACCCATACAGGATGTAAAAGCAATCATTTCTCTTTCTCTCTGGCTGCATTCTTGCACTCATTGAGAAGTACTGAGTGAGCTGTGATTGGTCACAGCTTGTCACATGGTACAAGGCTGTTGTGAATAGCCCTGTACCATGTGATCTCTGTGATCATTCACAGATTTCACACGTAGTAAGCAATGATGTCAGAAGTGACATCTTGCTTACTACTTTGCATGTGATCACTGATTGGCCAATCAGTGATCACATGATCAGGACCTCGTACAGAGGTCCCGTCCGACGATCGGTGTTTCATTGTGCCAGGGAGCGCGCACAAGCAGGGTGCGGGGAGGCCGTTTATAAACGGCCACCCGACCCTACACTGCCACCGTTTATATGCAACGGCTGGTCGGCAAGTGGTTAAAATGACCAGTACCTCCCGTTCGTGGTGCGGTAGCACCCCTAGAATGGCAGTAGAGGCGGCCGACATTCAGAGACTCTTATTACCGGTCTCAATGTCACGGCGTGTCTCTATCAATATATGAAGTGTGCAGCCCCTGCGGGCGCCCTCGTGGCTGCTCTGAGGCTTCTGACACTCACTCCAGGCAAGAGACAACGTGTACAACGGCCCGTCTGGCGGGAAGCACAGCCCGTCCAACAGCTCTGACCCAATTTCTTTTTTACGAAAGGATAGACTGCAAGAGCAGCACAACTTCACCAGGTATAGTCTACATCACGAAAAAAGGCACAAACGTAATAAACCGCATTCTAAAACACAAACGTGGAAAAATAAAATTCAAGTACATGAATGGGGTGGGCAGTACGATAGGCAGAACTATCACACAACCAGCAAAGGTTCAACACCAATCAATCTATGATCGTCTGTCCGTCTAACAATAAATGCCCATGGGCTTTCCAACCGTCCCATTGTATGTCGCACATGTGCATCCTATCCAGCAACGTACGGTGGGGTTGTGTCCAAAATACTAGCAGTCAGACATCACTAACCGGATCAATCACTGTTTTTGGTGGAAATGATATTTCTACATGGCAAATAATTTCCTAGCAGGTGTAGTAGAGTCATAGAAATCCAACAGACCCGACAGTCATGACATGCATGCTGCTGACTCTGTGTCATTGAATCACTCATTGAAAGGGGCGTGTTCACAATAATAGCCGTGTGGAGTTCTATTAGTGAGGTCATTCATTCTTTGATAAACAGGTGGCAATGATTGCCCTTATTTAAGGAAGGAAGGCAGCAAATGTTGGACATGCTGGTTACAGTGCATTTCTCTCTGAAATTCTGAGGAAAATGGGTCCATTCCAGACATTGTTCAGAAGAACAGCGTACATTGATTAAAAAGTTGATTGGAGAGGAAAACATATAAAGAAGTGCAGAAGTTCGCAAGCCTCTAACCTTGTGTGAAGGTTGTACTGGGGACCAGAAGGCTGTGTGTGTACAGCCTTTGCCATTTAGGGCCTGGCCATGGTTCGGCACCCCTCTCTGCAACTGCCTTCTAGTTGCTAGAAAGTAAGTGGCCACGCACTTGCAGTGCACGCTCCATGCCAGCCGAGGGGGCGTAATTGGCACAGAGTGGTACACCCCCATTCTAAAGCATGCATTAAGAGTAGAATTGAGTGTGCAGTTCCTTATCCATGCCCTGGGCGCTGAACCAGCCTGTACTTGTACTGGAATCTAGGGCCTGGAGTCCGGAGGCTTCAAAGAGCTTTGGGGGTGGGGGGGCCCTTTGTGGAGGGGGGGGGGGGTACAAGCTTCTAACCTTGTGTGCAGGTTTTACTGGGGACCAGAAAGCTGTAATTTTGTAATTTAAGGCCTGGCCATGGTTCAGCACTCCTTTGCAACTACCTTCTAGTTGCTAGGAAGTAAGCAAGTGGCCACGCATGTGCAGTGCACACTCCATGCCAGCCGGAACAAGGGGGTGTAATTGGCACAGGGTGGTACACCCCAATCTAAAGCATGTATTAAGAGTAGAAGAGAGTTTGCAGTTCCTTATCCATGTCCTGGTGCTGAAGCAGCCTGTCCCTGTACTGGAATCCAGGGCTTGGAGTCCAGAGGCTTCAAAAAGCTTTAGGGGTGGGGGCTGGGGTGGGGGGTACAAGCCTCTAACCTTGTGTGCAGGTTTTACTGGAGACCAGAAGGCTGTGTGTGCACAGCTTTTGTAATTTAGGGCCTGACCATGGTTTGGCACTCCACCCCTTTGCAACTACCTTCTAGTTGCTAGGAAGTAAGCAAGTGTCCACACATGTGCAGTGCACACTCCATGCCAGCCGGAACAAGGGGGCATAATTGGCACAGGGTGGTACACCCCATTCTAAAGCATGCATTAGGAGTGGAAGAGAGTGTGCAGTTCCTTATCCATGCCCTGGGCGCTGAACCAGTCTGTCCTTGTACTGGAATTGAGGGGCCTAGAATCTGGAGGCTTCAAAGAGCTTTGGGGTGGGCAGGTACAAGTCTTTAACCTTGTGTGCAGGTTTTACTGGGGACCAGAAGGCTGTGTACATCTTTAGTAATTTAGGGCCTGGCCATTTTTTTGGTACTCCACCCCTTTGCAACTACCTTCTAGTTGCTAGGAAGTAAGCAAGTGGCCACGCATGTACTGGAATCTAGGGCCTGGAGTCTGGAGGCTTCAAAGAGCTTTGGAGGAAAACAAACCTCTAAACTTGTATAGGTTCCTTTCCTTTCTACTCTCCAATTGACTTCTTGGGGCAGGGGAGGCCTTAAAGTGAATCTGCCGCCGTAATTGAGACCTGGTTCCCTTTAAGTCACAAAGGAAAAACAGAATCCTTTTGGACAGTGAGCATTTTCTGCACACCAAAGGGGGCAACTTGAGGAGCCAAGGATGGAGGACAAGCAGTGCCGTGTGCATACTGCCTTAGTGCAGTATGCCTGAATAAAGTCTTCATATATCAGATCTCTCTTTGGTCTCTTAATAGGAAGACCTAGACAACTGCCTAGTCTGCCCATGTGACCCAATATGAGGTCCTAGACAACTGCTTAGTCTGCCCATGTGACCCAATATGAGGTCCTAGACAACTGCTTGTCTGCCCATGTGACCTAATATGAGGACCTCCTAGACAACTGCCTGGTCTGCCCATGTGACTCAACATGAGGACCTAGATAACTGCTTAGTCTACCCATGTGACCCAATATGAGGTCCTAGACAACTGCTTGGTCTACCCATGTGACCCAACATGAGGTCCTAGACAACTGCCTGGTCTGCCCATGTGACTCAACATGAGGTCCTAGACAACTGCCTGGTCTGCCCATGTGACCCAATATGAGGTCCTAGACAACTGCCTAGTCTGCCCATGTGACCCAATATGAGGTCCTAGACAACTGCCTGGTCTGCCCATGTGACCCAATATGAGGTCCTAGACAACTGCCTGGTCTGCCCATGTGACCCAATATGAGGTCCTAGACAACTGCCTGGTCTGCCCATGTGACTCAACATGAGGTCCTAGACAACTGCCTAGTCTGCCCATGTGACCCAATATGAGGTCCTAGACAACTGCCTAGTCTGCCCATCTGACTCAACATGAGGACCTAGATAACTGCTTAGTCTACCCATGTGACCCAATATGAGGACCTATAGTAGACAACTGCCTAGTCTGCCCATGTGGTGCAATATGAGACCCTAGACCTCCATGGTGCCCTGGGGTGCCGCAAAGAATCACGAAGGAAAAACCGAATCCTTTTGGACAGTGAGCATTTTCTGCACACCAAAGGGGGCAACTTGAGGAGCCAAGGATGGAGGACAAGCAGTGCCGTGTGCGTACTGCCTTAGTGAGTGAACATTTGCCTGGAGGTAGAGGCAGGCTTTGGAGTTTGTTGCGTCTTTCTTGGTGTCATGTGATTGTCTCGGCCACGGTAGTATTGTTGCCTTCTCCTCTCCCGGCTTGTCATATCTTCAA